TCTAATACCGCCCTTAAATGGGTGACTGAGTAAGCGTGTCACTGATTCAAACGACAAAATACACCATTATGATTTATGACTCAAATTATATTTAATAATTATGTTGATAATTAGTATGACTATTCAATAAAACATGTATACTGCAAACAATTAAAAATTCTTCAAGAGTGACAATAACCGAGTATTAAACTACCACTAGGCCACTTCATCGATTTACTCACCCTATTTCATCTTACCTAATATATTATCAAAAATAGATTTTAAATTAATTTTTATTGAATCTAAGGCCAGTTCTTGCACCGTGAACGTAATCATAGGTCTGATGGGATTGTTTTATTATTGATATCAATTACCATCTGATTACATTTTAGTTTACTACTATCTGTAAAAAACAAAACAAGATTTAAAGCCATGTGTTATGTGCTCTGATATTGGTGTTATCATCTATCAATTTCGCCGAAAGTTGTCCATCATCATCATCTCTGTCTTGTACAATGACAAGTATTAGGAACAGATAACAAAAAAATTATTTGAATAACGATAAAGATATCAACATTAAATTTAATCTAAGATAAAGATAAAAGATAGTCAAACCAAATTTATCTAACTAAAAGATAGAAGATAAATTGTTTTTATTCAGATAAATTACAAATAATTATATAAATTAAAATCAAAATAACTAATGAGTTATAAATAAATGATATTATATTTTATGGCATTATATATGGCGGCGATTTCAACTTGTCTGTTTCTATTATTCGTATTTTAATTATAATTTACAAATATTTATAAAATCAGGAAAATAATACCAGTCGCGACAAACCACAGTAACATGGGAACCTTAATATAAATTAATCAGTTTATTTTATCTATATATATAATAGAATACAAAATAATATTATAATTTATAGTCTTTTCACAATAACATCATATATTTATAGCCCGTGATGTTTTTCTACGTACAAGCTGCGCCTAAGACAAAGAGAATAAAAATAAAGCATTTTCGATCAAATCTAGCTAATTTTCACAAAATGTAACTAGATAAATGACATTTTAAGTTAAAATAAATACTTAGATAACTTGTATTTATTTATCTAGGATAAGATAAAAAATAAAAAAATAATTATCTAGGTAAGTCCTAATACTGACAATGACTACGTCATATATACTTTACATATTTATGTAAATATTGCGATACATTTTTGACTTAAATAAAATCTTTTTCTATACATATTTTTCATCTGAAAATTTGTTTTTTAAATTAAAAATGTAGATTTACAATAAATACCTAACAATTTTTTATGATTTATCAAATCGTTTTCTTTCTATAATTTTTCTTTTCTTATTTTTGAGCTAAGTATGGATTTAAATTTTAAAATAATGTATTTTTAGTAAAAAATTATAATCGACTCAATTTTAAATATGAGTATCTTTCACATTTAATAACTAGCATACATAAATAGGTAGTCTGTCTAGAAACATCTGAAAAGGATAAAATAATAAAAAGTATATTATAGCATTAACTTAAAATTAAAGCGTAACGGTAGAATTTTTAGATTTCATTAGTATATTTTGATCAAAAATATTTTATTAAAGTTAAAAATTCAAATACATTATTGAACCGCAAGTAAACTCAAAAAAATTTATTTAGCACTTTCATAAATTGATAGCCTTACGTATTTTAAACATAAAACATTTTTTTTCTATTAGTTATTTGATAAGAGCACTCCATTATCAAATATAAGAGACTGTTGTTTATATTTATTAATCAATAATCACTGTTAAAATATTTTTAAACAAATTTTAATAGTTTTATAATAAATTATAAACTAAGTTATAATTTGTTTCTTGGATGACTTCCAAATAATTACTTTCAATATTTCAATTTCAAATGTAAAAATTGTTTGTGAATAGAAAAGAAAATCATCTATATTTATTAATGAAAATAAAATTTAATTATTAAGTCAGATTTTTGATCAGACACATCAAACTCAACATCTATACTCTATAGTACAATAGAAACTAGGTTTTTACTTATTATTCATTATTTTCAGTATTGAGGTTTATAGTATAATAATTATATAGCCTATTCTTCTTACAACCATATTAGGATTATTCAATAATTACATAAATTCAAACTTCGTTTACAACACTCCTGAATGTAGTAGTCATTTTAAATAATACGAGTTCAACATGTTCCTAACGACTTATTTAAATAATTTTGTAAGAAAATATGTCAAATAACTACATAAATTCTATTTTTCTTTAAGACGAGATAACATAGAACAAAAGTCTTCATCCACGTAAGAAAAATTACAACTTCTACGAAATTTAAAAAACAAAACAAAATTAGTTTTATACATATATACGTATTTATAGGTTTTAAATATCAATCTGACATTGCATCGTGAGTAAAAGTTAGACAGATAAAAACAACACGTATAATTTTATTGAAATTTATTATGATTAACAGTCTTTAACTGACCTCATTTAAAATACGAAAGCCGGTGTAAAACCTTGTGCTTTATCCACATCTATGACAAAAAAAAGATAATATGTTCGTATGATTTGTAAATAATATTATTATGATTGCATATTATTATGATTATGTAATCAAAATACTACTTCGTTACAAATCACATTGTTTTTTTATCGATTTTTTTTTTTTTTTTGTTATTTGGTTTCATTATAAGAATGCCAAAAGCAACATTATTATAATGGACTTGGTACGACGCTGAATTATTGAACATGACAATTTATTTTGTTTAGTAATAAATCTTTGTTCTTATTCATTTTATCGATTGTTACAATACAGGGTGGATCACAAACTTGTGATTATTGTTTGCAAATATTTTTAATTAATTATATATTTAAGATCGGATATTAGCGAGGAAAGTAAAATGTCCTAAAATGTTAAGGGTCGAAAAATGTTAGATTTCAAAGGCAACCACTTAAATTTAAAAGTCTTAACTCGAAATAATTGACTACTGACTCAATATTAAATGTACTATAAATATTAAAGAAGATCGTAAAAATAAAAGTATAATTTTCCATTTAAAAATAAAATCACTATGCCGAAAAGTATTAAAAATTCTTTAAATAAAAAGCTTAAATAACTGAAAAGAATTAGGTAACTACAAAATTTAAATTTTTGTATATCCCTGGTTTGTAATCTTTTCGTATACAAAAGAAAAATAAGAACCGTATTATATTGTATTGATCATTTTACATTTATAGTTATTTTAGGTGTATTATTAGTATGTTAATTGTTGGTAAGTAAATGTTGGTGAAGTGTAAGATAAAACTTACCCATTTGATGGTTAACATAATTAATAATTAATTGATACAAAGTAAATAGACATAAAATAGTTTAAGACGTGAAATATCATTATTGTATCGTAGTTTAAACTGTTTAAAGCAATTATATTTTTCACTTATATAAATCCTATAAACATTTACGACACAATTATTAAGTCATAACAACTTTGATACATTTTGTATGTTTTTAACACAGACCTATTTTGAATTAATTAAATTAGTACGTATTAAAATGTTTAACTATAAACAAGATAACATAATTTAGCTATACTTTATAAACATATAACTCATGTATTAATATTATGTAAATACATAATACAATAATATTATTGTTGATAATTTTAAAGGTACACAAAAAGTTTCAACTCAAATTGCAGTAGTGTAATAGTAAAGTATTAAGTCAATAAGTTTGAACCAGAGTAGCTTTATCAAGATACGTCATAAATTTTAATACTTGAATATTTAGTTTTCATAAAAATACATATCCATACGAACTCAAATTATATCATGTAAAAAAATAATTTATTTTATTTATTTACAAAGTTATAGTATAAATTTATAATCTACAACAAATTAATTTTTTACAATAATAAAACATTTAATACTTAGATAGGCACACTAAAAGTATCTTGGCATAGAAAATTAAACTATTATATTTTATTTAATAAATCATCTTTAAAAAACATCGAGACCAGATTAATCATAAAAATATATTGTTATATTTTGTGTTGACATACCTTTATAAGAATACATGGATAGTTAAAATGTTTATAGTATTTCAAATAATGAGTGTTATTAAGCCGAGTCTAGCCTTACACACATCCAAAATGACTCATAAGTTTGATAACATCGCTAACATTCAATCACGTGTGCTCTTATGACATGATTATGAGTAAATAGGTAATGAGAAAAAATCAGAAACATTATCAGCAAATATATAAAACTGTAAACTAAGTGTGGACCTAGCTTAGATCTCAGTGTTGTACTTTTGCTCATATCAACCCAAATAAGTGATAAATTTGTAAACAATGATGAATATTTATTATGAATATTCATGAAATGATTTTCATTAGATCTTGGTTTGCTATAATACCAACTTACACGCATTTCTAATGTTTATTAAAGTTTTTTAATTTCTAGCCAATATTTTTATTTATTCATACCTAGTTAATTAATGTATGATGATTTTTGATACCTACCTACTTATTGAATATAAAAATTAATAACGACATGATAAATATCGACTATATATTATATAGAAGAAACTGGCAGTCAGGAACATACTGCTTATGATAACATTGGTGTGCGTGTCTAATGTCTAAACATACATTATTATTAGATACATATACGTATGTCGTACATAATGTTTAGGTACTATTATGTACTATGTAGACCAGAATTCGTCAAATAACAACATGTGAACGATTTCTTTACAGAAGAATTTTTTTTTTTTGGCGGTGAACTTAATGAGGTATTTTTTAATTTTGATTTGATTTTTTGATTTTTTTTTTTACATGGTAAGCATGAATGTAAACAAAAAAAAAATATATGAGCAACGTCAATAGCACGAAAAGAAGTGTCACATAATTAAGAATACACATCAAAATTGTAATGTTATACTGTGAATGGAGGCGCATAGGTTTTAAAATAAGAAGTCTTGTATAATATATACAGGCACCTACCTACGATAGTGATTAAAATCCATTTATTTTACGAAGACGGTGTAGTAGTGTTGCAACAGTACCGCAACAATCATTATCGCGTACGGTGTTTCTTGCGCGCGATCGATCCTAATAATTACTTTATTTTCGATGGTATATTAACCATCATAACATTTCATTCGCACACAACATACACGATAGACGCGCGCGCGCGCGCGCGTGCACACACACACACACACACACACACACCTGTTTGCACGCTTGCACAATAATTACAATATTATAATAAGTAGGACGTACAGGTAAAGGTAGGCATACAGGTTATCAGTATTTTAGTATACATGCGAAACCGACCGCTGAAGATGGAATACTGATTTCTCGCGGTGTGCACCGTCGTACACGCGAGTCGGCTATGAGACGGCGACTGCGATCGTTGTATAATATTATTCCTACCACAATATTATGTACACTATGTAACCACGGTGTATAACACCTATCGGCTATATGTGTGACCGTGTGCATTTTTACTTTTGCCTGGGTACACGCGTTGTCCGTTCACCTGGCCGTCGTTTTATCTGCCGGTATACATTGTTTTTCGTCCATCACAAACAGGTAAATAGATAATTGTTTATCGATAGTCGAGACGTACACCGACGTAATGGTCGCAAGATATGACGTCGTTCACGGACGCCGGAACGGTTTTTTTGATTGTGGGGACAAACGTATAATTATTATTATTCCTGGGGTTATATTCCATATAGGAGGAGCCGACCAAATCAATTATGATTTATAAGTATCTTATAACTTACGTTTTCTTTCCTAAAAAAAAAAACTAGACGATATCAAAATTAATAATAAATTTTTTATTGTAAAAATACAAAAAAATAAGAAAAGTACTTTACAAATATTGTTGTTGATCACTATTGCATGGCGAAAAGTAACACGCTATATTATAAATAAATGTATGTCTACAGACTATAGTATTGGAGTATAAATTGGTTTTATAGGTACACACGAATAAAAATAAATTCGAAGATACTATTAAAATTATACAGGTAATATACATTGCCATTTTTTACGTCTTTTTAAAGCTTCTAAACAAGCTTGTGTTTTTTCCACGAGGACACAGCTCCCCACGGAAAAACTATTATGGAGCATCGCTCTAGCTGTCCTCATTGTTCCGACGTTTCTAACATCGTTTCATATGATATAATATTGAGTGCCTTGTCGAATTTTTTCGCGAGTTTAACTGACGATTTTTAGACACCTACCATATTATAATAGGCAGAATGAGTGTCGCGATGCCGGATTTTGTTTAGTAGGTAACGATTAATTTAAACCCCATTACACCGTATTCAGTGTTACTGCATTATTCACATGCCTATCGACAAGTATTATACTTCACTGTTTTACTGTACAAATAATATAATATGTACGGCACGTTGTCACCCAACGAATTTTCACGAATTACACAGTCTTCATAAACCAGACTGATTTAGATTTCGCTGTGGATAACATCCATCATTATTCATTAAAAATATATTAATGATAGTTAGATCACCGCAAACAAAGTAAAACGTTAATGTATACAGATAATTGATTGAGTACAATAATTTTCAAAATTTAACAATTGAAGATTTTGAAATTAATATAAAATCAAAAACCGCATTTTTGGAAGATATTCCTACAGTAGAAGCGGTCTCCTTGCGATGTCTATTAGTCAATAGCTTCATAGAAGTACGTGCAACAATCCGTGTACCAGTGGCACAACTAGGATTTTTTAAGGGGAGGATCCAAAAATATAATTATTTTTAAGTGGTAAGCAAATTTAATTATTATTTTATTATTTGGTTATTATAAATATTGTAATTTAATATAAAATTGAATAATAATTAAATTTAAAAAATAAAGATATGTACAATGTGTATACAGCTGTAACAACAATAAAATTATGGTATTTTAAAGATACAACACGGTTCAAGGGGGGGAGGGGGTGTCCGGACCCGGGGACCTTCCGGGTTGTGCCACTACGGTTTACTTATTAACAATTTATATAAGTATTTCTATTAATAGATTTATATTGCTATTTTTGAAGAAGTACTCAGAATGGAAATTAAAATAATTAAAACTAAAAAATTATATTGTAAATAGCTATTACATGATATAAATGCATTAAATTATTCACCTTAGATTATCGAGATATACAAAAACAAAAATTTTAATTTGATATTGTGTTTACGTATTATAATAAATCAAAAAATATATTACAAACTATAATGAATGCTTAATAATTTTCCAAAGTCAAATATAAAAAATGGTTGCCTTATTAAAAAAATTATTGGTGGGCAGTGAGCACGTTACATTTATACACACGCTGTCTAAATTGAATAATATTTACACTTGATCATAATATAAAATATTAATACAGATACAAATATATATATATAATCTTAAAACTATTTCTATCTAGTAAAGAGGTCAAGTCATATTATGCTATATGCAATTATGTAGCCTAATAATATAATTACCATTAATTGAGATATAAATTATAATTATCGTCGATTTCGTACTATATATAGAAATAGAATGCAAATTAAATATATATTTTGTACATAACGATGTAAATATGAATTTATTTCGATATTCATTTGTTTTTAGTGTTCAAATAACCGCATATTTAAAACTTTTTTTCGTAAAACTTCGCAGAATAAAAATAAAAAATCGATCATTGTTCTTTCTTCGCATTCTCATCGTCAGAATTAAGTTGAAAAATGGATGAATGATTATTGAGCAGTTATTATGATAAATGTAATGTTGGATAGACAATTATAGGTATATATATGTAGACAAACTCCGTTGTACGCCTTTAACAATTTTTAACAAATAACTTACTTATTTGCCAATATAGTATACCTATCTAAAATAATTCAATATTTTTCTGAGTTTGGGATACATACTACCTACATTACTTTTAACTGAAGCGCCATCGCAACGTGAAACATACGTTATGAATGTTATGATTACAGATATAGTGATATGTATTAAGAACACTGAACGGGGTTGTACAAAATCATACTAGAATCACACTAATTATGACTCATGATTTCATTTCAAAAAATATTATCTTAGTATCTTACACAACGATATTGTCGTTAAATAATATAGAATTTTTATTTAATTCATATTGAATTTTTTTTTTTTTTAATATTTCGTTATTAGGCAATACTTTGTCATTCTAAATATTGCAGTTAACATGGCAGTATTGTACAATAACTTTTTTATCAATATTATATAGTATGTTATTTACAGTGTTGTAGTTCACTTAATTACCATAAAAATGTTGTATGCTTTCAAAAATACATATTAAAAAGGCTCCTGCTATTTTTAAGCCTAAAATATATTATTATTATTTTTTAAAACATATAGATAACTATAGACTGTAGAGTATACAACTTAGCCAAACAAATGAAGGAAATTACATGTAACATGTACGTTACACCGTTATACGTAAAAATGACAAGGCACAAAACTGTGAAAACAATAAATAAGCATCTTCATACTACTCAACGATTATAGAAGGCGGACAATAATGCAATTAGACTTGACTTCTGAGTTTTTTGAGTACTGTATATACATTATAACTTAAAAGTACAATGCAAAGTAGACAAAATTAAGAAACTGCCGACCATTGATGTGTATTCTTTAGACCACTTATGTTACTTTAATCATATCTGTGCAATGCAGATTATTATTGGAAGTATTATGTAGATATATTATTTTAAATATGAAAGCAACGATATAATATATTTGATGCATGCGAAAAGAAATCGGAGTAAAGCCGTGTTAATTTCTTGATGTTTAAAACTTTTATGAGTTCTCTTTTTTTGAATTTGACTTAAAAAATTATTTAAAGATATTACAATAATATTTATTTTATCTTTTTAGGTACGAATCCACTATAGAACTAATCAAAAACGATTTTAATTACCACAGTACTGAAACAAAATCCAAAATTACAAAGTTAAAAATGAGGGTTTTTCTCATATGTTCTCAAAGACTATAGAACAATTTTAAAAGTTCGTTTTTTTAAGTGCAATCCTCTGCGTTCAATTTCTAATTTATATTCTATATACGGAACTATTTGAGCTTTTAACTGTCTTCAAAAGTTTTTTAGAAAAAAAACACACATCTTTATACTTCTGTACAGTCAATACTTAGGTCATGTCTGTCGCTTAGAATTTAAAATTTATTATTAATATTTGTTATACTAACACTAACACCAACCTATTTCAGACATTAAATGTTCATAAAAAATTATTTCCGATAACAATAATTGTTAAGACCATTTTTCACGTTTGTAGATTTCAAACAGTATTATTAGTAAGTAGGTACTTTATACATATTATGTTTTATCTGGTTCTTATAAATTAAAAATGCATACATTTATATTATAAATTATAGTTATACCATTAAAATAAAATTATCAAATTAGCATTAATAATTAATAAATACAATTTAATATTACTAATTGAAAAATTGAAAAAGTTTGTTTAAATGAGAATTAAAGGGAGAGCAAGCTATTTCCTCGTAGTTGAAAATAGGTATTTAAGAATTACTTTTGTGGAAGGAACTAACCTCTTAAAATACTTAGATAAAAATATTATTGCTACACCTAAATACCATTTTTACGTTTTTTTTTTTATAAAATAATAGATAATATATTACAAAAACTCTTTTTTGTTTAATAAATTTATATCAAAATATATATTATTGTATAATCCTATCCAGAATCATTTAAAGTAGTAATTTACGTTAATTTTTATATTATAATTTATTTTAAAAATATATTTCAAGCAATTATTATCATTTCGAAAAATGAAGAATTTTGTTTCGGTTAAATTATTTACCATACTTACTAAGAACATTTTTTTTCTAGTTTTTTATAAACAATTTTCATAAAGGAAAGTACCTATAAAAATTATTTTACATAATTTTTAAGGTTAATTGGATGATTTTTTGTTGTTAAGCTTAATTAGCCTACTTGATTTTCACCAACAAGAGCAACAGTTCCCCATTCTTTCCGTTTCAGCTAATAACTACACAGTACATTACAGAGTCATGGAAGTATGACAATTGTATACTAAAATTAAATTTGAATGTATCAGATCATACTGATTATAAGCATTCCGCAGGTTTTTGTATCGGTTACAGGCGGTGCAGTATACCTAACCTAACCGGACCTACTGCAGAAGCAGCCCACTTATATATATATTATATCCCTCGGTATGGATAAAAAAAAAAATAAAGTAAATAAAAAGCATGATTAATTAATATAATATATTACTATACACTTTTATCATAATATTCAACAAGGAATTATATAACTT